AATTTCTTCTCTGAAGAAGAAATGGCTTACTTTGAATTACGAAACATCAGTTAATCTAGAATTTTTCCTACACACCGTAATATTTACAAATATATATATAAATATAGATTTATTGATTTATATTTTTTATTTATTAATTGTTTATTTAATTTAATTTGATCAATATCATATTGATCAGGATCATGATTAGAATTCATAATTTGATCATTAAATTTTAAATGATCATTATTGATTAATTGGATACATCATTCATATATTTTTTTATGATTAAATTTTTTTTCTGCAGATTAAATTAGAATTTATTGATTTCCAATTATTTGATTGAATGAACTTATTTTTTTAATATTTTTATCATTAATTAATAATGAATTATGATTATTGAATATTGAATCAATAAAATTTGAATTACAACGATACATTTATATTCATAACCAGTATGTTAACTTAGTTACGATGAGGCATTTAAATACATTGTTTGTAGATGGGTATATTTTAACTTCTAATGTTTAGTGTTTTAGTACACATTCAAGAAAATCTCACCTTCTTATAATCTTAGGTGGATTATTTTCTACTCTGGTTTTAGTTTACCTGGTCTTTTTAAAAAAAAGAAAAACTAACAACATGGAGGAATGAGACTGATATTTCAACTATCTATTTTATGGAGTTGATCAATTCATGATATTTTATTATTATGTTATCATAATAAATTATTTGAAATTATAAAAATTTTGCAGTTCATCTCAATTGACTATCTAAATTCATTGATGATTTATCAAGAAAACTAAGGACATATAATGAGAGACCAAAGGTCCTGTGTTCGAGTCATGAGCGCGGAATTGTGGGTGCATACTGCTGAGGAATACCATCTAGTACTTTCAGGTTTTCAATGGTGATCTAGCTTAAATTGATTCGTGATTTCAACTGAGAACATACAGTGAATTGTTTAATGCAGATTTAGTTAGACATAGAATACAAGCTTTTCAATTCTGATTATCAGGATTGAAGTGTAAGACACTTAGAAAAATGAAGTCGATTAAAAGTTAAAATGGATGAACATCAAAATGTTTTGTAACACAATCAACCTTTATCACAGCACACCGTTATGTATTTATCTAACTTATGACTAGTTTCATTTCCCTAAGTATTTTATACTACATTTGTTATTTCTCGTCGTGAAATACTATAGACCGTAAGTGACATTTGATGAAATAGACCGACTATATGTTATTCTAATATCTACGAATTAGGTTGTCGTGTAAAATAATGTGGAAAAATGTTGAGTAAACTATATTTCTACTCAACAAAACATATAACATTAGAGTAAGTATGTTGCTATAATTTCGCTAAGCATCATTATATTATATAAACGATTATCTGAGATTTTCTTTATAGTTTCAGTCAAATTTTTGCTACCATGATCTGATCTAATATAGATAATCATTGGAAACTAGGGGGGCACTAGATATGTATTCCACCCTGAAATTAGACTTAATTTCAGCAAACACCAGATACGTTATGTCATTTACCTACGTCTTGTGATGTAATATCATTTAGAAAGAGTAGTAGAATTATTCATTTCAGACTCCATCTCCCACAGTACAATGAATTAGATTCTTTCCTTAAAATGAATCTTCTGAAATGACGGAAATTCGTTGGACAGTGTTAAAGTTTTGTATCCTACTCTTAATATTTCGGTACAAATATGGTATCCAATACTGTTTCGTTCATAATGGCATTATCACTTATTCATATTCTATGAACAGGAAACCAATTTCAGTTTGATAACATCTGACCGGTAGTAAAACATGATAATGAAATACATTATAATCTTCCTTGTAATTTTTTGCATAATCTAAAATTTTCTTTTTCCATTAATTAATTTGTGTTGTTCAGTACAAAGTTCAGATCGACTTATCAACTTAACACATAGCACGCTACCGTACGTTTATCAATCTTTTTGACTTATTGCATCAAACTGTAAAGTTTTGGGTAATTCGGCACCAGCATTTAATCCTTTAACGTATACTAATCTTGAATTCAGCTCGCTACAAAGTAAAATATACATCCGAGTCTAAATTCAAAAACATACCAATCTTTGTGAACTATATTTAATTACCTATATCGTCAAGTAGTATATATCGTTCATTTATGATGCTTTTGTCAAAAATAGTATATCTTATTGAATATTTGTATAATAACCAAAACACTATTGAATGATGAGAAAATTTGAAGAAAACTTTTGGTACAAGATGGACAATTAGTTGGAGTGTATACTTTCCTGTTGCCAATATATGGGACTCTAACTGATCGATCTGTTTTGTCATACTTTCATCTAATCAAATATTTTCACAACTTTTAATAACATTCTATGAAAAATTTCGCAGTGCTAAAAACTAGGGAGAACGGTCGTCTCGTTTCAGTTTGAAATTCCTTAACAGTGACCAAGTAAAATTCCTACAAGCATAGAACACAGAATTTTCATTTCTTACGGTCGGCGCAATATTCTCCGATTACCAACTTTGAATCCAACGGTCCACAGTTTTAACTTCCATGTATCAAGATAAGAATCTCTTTTATTTCCCTCTCATAGGAGGCTAATGTTCTTGAGTCTGATCACTATCACATTCTTGAAGAATTCTCAAATAGACCGAAACAGTTATCCCATTCTCCGTCATTTTCACTGGTTTTCTAGATTATGTTAATTTGTAATGTAAAACAAATCCGAACTAGACAATTTATACAAAACACTTTAACTATCAGAAGGGGTTTGTGGAGATTTTAGAAACTTTCACAGATTGAAATCATGAGTCAGTTGAAGCTAAACCACCATTGAAAACCTGGAAGCATTGGACGGCCGTTTCGTCATAGTGTGGGACTCCTCAGCGGTGCTCATCCACGATCCCGCACCACGCGGGATTCGAACCCAGAACTTACTGGCTTCGCGCGAGAGCACTTAACCATTAGACCGCTGAGCCGACATCCAACGGTGTTAATGTCTAATTTCAACCAATCCACGAAGTTGCGCCACCATATACCATTGTCTTCAGTGAGCTGAGGAGTCCCACACTATGACGAAACGGCCGTCCAGTGCTTCCAGGTTTTCTATGGTGGTCTAGCTTCAACTGACTCATGATTTTAATCTGTGAAAACTTACTTTAATTCTCATGTAGTTTGATAATTGTTTCGTTTTGGGTTATTTTTTTGGCTTCACATTAAAGTTGTTGTTCAAAAATCAATACATAGTTATCATTGTCTCTTAGTTCATAAATGACATGATTTCCTTAATAGTTATGTTGGACTTTTATCAGTGATTAGTGTTCATAATAATGGATGGATTAATGTATTCACTTAAACGATATCTATCACTAAATATAAAGTATAAGAAAGTACAAAGTGAAATTAAAGATAAAATTTTAATCACTTAACTATATATTCACCATTCAAGGCCAAATTACTTTGTAGGGAAAACATTGAATATCATTGTTTATTTCTATGTTTAATATTTTCACAAATCTATTTTTAAATTAATGGTTGTATCCATGAGCCGATTAAAGCTTGATTATTTTGGAGAACTTGGAAACACTGGATGGCTGTTTCATCCTAGTGTGGAACTCCTCAGCGCAATCTCGTGGATTGATTGAAGTAAGACATTAACGCTATTGGTGGTGATCAGTAGTCCTGAGGTTAGGTGTTCGCGCACGAAATCGAAGGTCCTGGATGTACACTGCTGAGCAGTCCCATACTATGACGAAACGGCTGTCCAGTGCTTCCAGGTTTGCAATAGTGGTGTAGCCTTAATCGACTCATGAATTCAACTATTAAATTACTTCAATCTTCACAAAACCTCTTTCTGATGAAAATGTATTTATGTAAAACACTGAAAGATTAAATCATTGTAATTTACCACCATATAAATATAGAATAGTCTATTTATCCGTATGCGGATTATCATTAGGTTAATATAACTGGATCAGTGAAACTAGTTAGTTAGTTATAAAAAGCTACAACATAATTTTTTTTTTCTGTGATTATAATTACAACTCAGTTAAGATATTCTAAGTATGTTTATTTTAGTTACTTAGAATACTGTTATTTTCAACAGATTATTCTAATTGTGATACAACATATGACTGATTACAAAAAAAAGTACCGAATTACTAATCCCTTACACTTTTAATACTGAAATTAAAATCATTCCATGATGTTAACCATGCAATTCAAATATCGAATCTCTATAAAACGATCGAGTAAAAAGTGAGATATATTTCGTTTTTATGAAGAAAAAAAACCCACATAATTTCATATAGCAGCGTGAAAATAATTGACTATTTATATGATCATCGAATGTACTATTAACTCTTATAAATTTTGTTAGTTGAACTCACGAGTTGATCTAAGGTAGACTAACGGTGAAAATCCAAAAAAAACTGAACGGACGTTTTGTTCTAGTATGGTACTCCTTAGCATCCATGATCCCATACGTGGGACTCGAACCCAGGACTTTTTGTCTAGTGAGTGAACGCTAAAGCTCTATGGTGATCGACTCGTGAATTCAACTGTGAAAGTACTAGTCTCTACCATTTTAAACCTGAAACCACTAGACAGCTATTTCGTCCTAATATGGGACTACTCGAACCAAGGTCTTTTGATGTCGTGTGTGAACTTTTATTGTTTAGACAACTGAATCAGGACTTAACAGTATTCATGTTCCATACTAAGATGAACCAATCATCCAGTGCTTTCAGGTTTTCCATGGTAGCTTAACATGGATCGGTTTATTATCTCAACGATCTTTATAACCCTTTTTCTGATAAGAAAATATTTACAAATTTTATTGATATTCAGATATATAACAGAGAGTAATAGACAATGAATAAATGTGTGTAAGCAAACAATGGAAAATAGTAGTTCATAATACTACTAATAATACTACACATTACAATTACAAAACTCTTTATTGATTCTTTTTAAAAAAAAATCATTGTAATATTAGTTTATTTTTACAACACTAAGTATTGTCTTCTTTATTCTACGTCACATTTAACCGTTAACGTGGATGAGTTCGTTGCCGGTAAACAAAATTAAATGAAGGTTGGAATAAGGGAAATACAATCATCATTCGAAATTGTTGTATAAAACATAGAAAAGAAAATAAACAAAATAGAAATAAAAGAAATTCACTGAAATTATGAATAGAAAGAAAGAAAGAAAGAAACAATTTGTTAACACAATATTGATCTGTATACACTTTTGCCATGAGAATATAATACAATAATTACACAATATTAAAATGATTGATATCAAACATAAAATTGATGATATGTACAATACAATTGAAAAGATGTATGAATATGATGAATCAATGTTGTGCTTCTCTCTCTTTCTTTCTTTCTTTTTTCTTTTTGTTTGCCGTTAAGATTGTTGTTATTATTACAGTTGTATCATTTGATTTAGATGATTTTCCATTTGAATGACTATAAATTGTTGATACAGGAGAACGAATCATATTTACATTTTGATTACGTAAAACAGTATGTGTAGGTAGGTGTACGACGTATTCGGAAATCAAGTGTTCGACCGTGTAAAGTCTAGAAAAAAAAAAGAAAAAGAAGAAAATTGAAAACATAAATAATACAAGTGTTGATCTGAAAAATTTAAAGATTTTATTAAATCATTATCATTCATAATATAACTTTTAAATTCATTTTAATCATTTCATACAATAACTAATGCATAACTTAGAACGATACTTTGTTGGGTCAATCAATTCTAAATTATCATCATTCAGTGGAAATTCTTAAGATATCGGAAAGAGATCGAACTTGTGGTAGTTTGGCGAATGCTACTTATGCTGAAAATTATGAGTAGTATGTAGCATCAATCGATGGAAATAACGCGTGCTGTTCTACGCCAAGCGAACGTAAATATGTAATACATTGATCTAGATCTATAAACATCTATGGAATGATGACCCATCTTGTCTACATAGATAATACGACTTTTTTCTTGAATTATGTACATTCACATGTATCTATCCATATTGTATTAGATATAAAATCAAGTCCATCATGTATATAGTGAATAACTAATGTAATACATAAATTAAATTAACATTTTCAACTTGACTTACATTTTGAACTAATGGAGTGACACAATCCTTTGAGTTACCACAAACTGGGGAATCAGCACGTGATTTCTTACTCTGTACGGAGAACAATCAAATATCTCACATTGATCTTAATCGTTGTTGAGACTATGTTAATCGCATTGACTTTTAATGTTACGTAATCGTTTGAGGAAATGTTAACAAACTACTCAACTTTAAAAATAAAATAACAACACAATCTACTCACTATGGGATTATTTGATTTTGTACTCATGGTAGATGTATCCGATTTTCTCAATGATTCATTCGATTTCTTGCCTTGTGAACATGGACTTGGTGTCATAGTAACACAATATTTAAGATTACAACACAATGCATGACTGTCTGGTGTCCAATTTAAAAAGAAACAATGAAAGTTAAGATCGATTATGCAATAAAATAGACACAATTAAGTTAATTTATATTAACTAATAAATCAAAGTATAATTCATAATCATTGAAACAATTCCCAATCTCTAACTTGGTAACTAAATTCAAAGAAATATCTTGTTGATATTGTTGTCATGACATTCAATTATTTATATACCAAAAAGTAAAATATACACGGATTAATGAACAAAAATTAATTGGGGTATATAATTAGTATAAAACCAAATGTTAACTTTATAAACTTGTTAGGTATCATGAAATAGTCTATACATACACACGTGTATAACAAGAAAGAAAACCTTAATACGAATATATATATATATAGTCATATCTGAGACAAAGATCATCTAATACTTCTCAAAAGGATTAATAAATAAAGATAACACAGTAAAACTTATTGATACTGTAAGAATAATGTTTAATATTTAACAAATAGATGGAAGATAACTGGTTGAATAAATTTTCAATGACAAATTTAGTATTGAAGGATAATTCTGTTACAGTTTCCTTATGGTACTTCAATTTATTCGAATAATTAAGCATATTATATATAAATAGGAAAATAAGCTGAGTGACAAACAAATACGAGTTCATACACACATGCACACATATAGACAGACATATACATATACATACATAAGGATTCAAATAAAACTAATATTATCCTAGTATGGGACTCCTCAGCAGTGCGCATCCACGATCCCGTGAGCGGGATCAATATTTATTATCAGTATGGGGATTTGAGGAGATTGTAGTATTTTAACAGTTAAATTCACAAGTCAATCTAATCTAGACCACCATCGAAAGCCTGGAAGCAGTAGACAACTGTTTCGTCCTAGTATGAAACTCCTCATCAGTAAGCATCTACGATCCCATACGTGAGACTTGTACCCATGACTGTCGATCTCGCAAGCAAACGCTTAAGCTCTAAACCACTGGGCCGACATCTAACTTCAATCTATCCATGATTTCACACAGCCATTCATCCATTGTCTTACACCATTGGTCACAACTCACTAGAACTCCAAGAAGTTCATCTTGAAGCTATTCATTGGTGAGCACACGATATTATCCGTATGAAAATTTTTGGAGATTGTAGTAGTTTCACACTTGAATTCATGAGTCAACACTAAGACAAAACAGCCGTCTCAGATGATTAACAATAAAATGCTATTCGTCAATTATCTTCTTTTTTAAAATGACTTAACATTTGTTACCATCGTCACTGTATCATATAAAATAAATATGTGAACAAAAACCTTATGTTATTAGAACCCTACTTCTATGATATTGATAATCCTTCTTCAGAAGAACATATTGAATTTCTAGTATCATATGGTTCAGTAAAATGTTTTACAAACTAACTAACAATAAACATTGGGTAGAATTGGTTACCGCCATTGAAATTATCTTAGTTATTCCTTTCAATTATATCCAACATACATCTGTTGTTTACATAAAACAGATCCATAATTTTTATAATGTCCATAATGAATTCATTAAATACCATTTGATCATTTACAGATCTGATTAATCTCTATTATGATATGATTCATTGATTATTCGATTCATTAATTATACAATAACATATTCAATCAAAGTTATTTAACAAAAAAAAAAAAATTGTCCATTTACCAGATCAACATAAACAAATAAAAATTTAACTATCTAATCTATTTATCATAAATATTTTAGTATCTAAGATGGACATGTCTATAAAATACTATGAAGAAGTAGACAATAAAAACAGTTTACTAAATTACATATTTAGGCTTTTCTTTTACAAAAGATTAGTTATATATTGGCATTCGTTTAGTAACAATTACAACCTAAAGAGACTATATGATTACGTGTCTGTGTGACTATTTACATGTCAAATGAATAATAAATTAACCTTGCCAAAATAGACTGTGCCTAAATCATGTTGACAAACAGAAACACGGTAATGACGAAACAGACATTTTAATTATGCAATCGAATGACAACTTAATTGATAGTCATTTATTAAGTTGTCCATTAAATATGATGTTACAAATGGCAATAGTAACTAACACATTAGGCAGATAGCTAGTAACATGTTGAGATCACGAAAATAATTGTCAAAAACAATCAATGCCTACTTTATTATGCTAATTCACTGAATAAGTTCTACAGATAATTGTTAGGGATATTTCGGTTAAACAAAATTGTGATTTTTTTAAAATGAATTTGAACATAATGTAGTGTTATGAGATATATCCAACTATGTGCTGTGGAAAAGTTAGGAATAAAAGAATAATACAGGTTTATATCCACTTAATAGACTCATACATCAATAGTTAGTTAGAATGATACATGACAGAGTTCACTTTTTCAGAATTAAATACCTAACTATTTATTTGTTACATTTAGACAGTGTTTATGAGTAATGTATGAAAGTTATATTTAGTTACAAGCATTAACTTAGTAGAAAAATTAGGATTTAAACTTAGTATTCAATCATCTAAATTACATCAACCAACATTTCTAATTGGATTAGTATAGATAAAAAATGCATAACAAATTTAGATGTAGTTAATTTTATATTTAAATACAATGATTTCCAATAGAGAATAAATGAATATAAGAGATAATTGGATAGTTATTCTTTCTTAGATTTGTATGCCTAATAGTTTACTTGAAAGTTGAATAACTTTCAACTATCCACTGGTATTTACTATACAAATTATGCTTCTAAAGAAGGTCTGAAAGTGAATCATTTATACATGAAAGTAGTCTAATTTATAAACAACTAACTTTGGTATGCAATCATTATGTTTTAAAGTAAGTGTAGTCCTATACCTCTAGTTGGTTTCATAAAAATACATCTCTTCTTATTTTAAAATCATAAGATTGATATAAAAAGTTAGAATTTCAAAGGTAAGTGCAGAAATTATTTACAAATTACAAGGAAAGTAGATAAAATCATTGACACATTATGATCCCAGGTAGATTTTTTAAAAAATCCTGGATAACCAGTGAACATAGTTTTTACTTATATTAACAATTTTCATTAATGACATTAAACCAATGTGATCTTCATAGCGATTTTTAAAAATAAACATTATGAGTTCCACTTAGAACTGGTGATAAAAAGAAACGAATTAGATCAAATCATACAAAGTATGGAATAATACTAAACCTTCTTAAGATTAGAGCGAGATAAATACTAAATGAAACTGTACTACAGAGGTCAGGCAACACAAAGTCTCTCACAGAGGCATAAAACAGGAAAAAAGCACATCCCTACATGATTTGATCCGGTATTCAATAACCTCATAAATAAGTGGCATATGTTTTTATGGTCTTAAATAGTCTTCTTTCACAACTGATTGAATACAAAATATTACTGCACTTCTGAACCATAACATTGGTTACTTATTATCATTATCATTTGGAAATATTGTGTTTGCAGTTTTCTTTTCCAGCTTTTTATTTCATTATCAGAAGGGGTTTGTGGATATTTTAGAAATTTTCACAGATTGAAATCATGAGTCAGTTGAAGCTAGACCACCATGGAAAACCTGGAAGCACTGGACGGCCGTTTCTTCCTATTGTGGGACTCCTCAGCAGTGATCACCCACGATCTCCCTCGTGATGTTCAAACCCAGGGCCCTTAGTCTAGCGCGCGAACGCTTAACCTCTAGACCACTGATCCGATCGGCATCCAATGGTGTTAATGTCCAACCCACAAAGTTTCGCTACCGTCTTCGATTGTACCAAGGTAGAGACCTGTCTCTACTTGTCAGGGATTAGCTCCACTAGTCATGACTTCTCATTACAACCCCGAAAATTCGCTCATAATCGATGTTTAAGAAAATATGCTAACGACTACTTTGATTACCTTCCCAAGCTAAGCATCTGATTAGAAATGATGAATACAATTCATTGAAAAGTCAATATTTAAAAATGAATTATTCGCTAATATTAATATTCTATATGATAAGTGAATAGAAAATCAAATATAAATTATATTTTTAATTTGCATATGTATAATATAATAATGCTACATTATGTAATTTAACCAGATGATTATGATAATGAGCATAAAACTTAAGTTGAGCAGTCTTTTAAGCTTACTACATTCAACTTCCTCACAATATACAACGGTTATGTTTGGAGTAATATGAGAACGTCTGCTCATTCTTCTTCTTAACAAACTAATTTTACATTGGAATTACGTCATAGTTTATGACTATCACTTGTTCAATACCTTTTCTATTGTCGAATTCAGAGTATTAGAATTTCAAGTTAATATTGATAATGATGATGACTGTAGTTGAAAGAAATTTAGATAAGCAGGATATGAATAGCCAACTGTTCAACAGTGTGCTTATTGTATACTTTTAGTGATCTAAACACAAATCAATTGTATATGATCGACAAAAATTTAACCGGCATTGACTGAACATTCATGAAAGAGAAGATTGGACTTTTGACAATAAAACTTTCAATGTCTTTTCAAAATGTGAAAATGATAATTCTGAATAAATTGAGAATTAAATTCATCATTTTTTTGGTAGATATTTCAATAAGTAGAGAAATTAGATTTTCTGATGTTTCGTAACTCAGTATAAGTGACTTCTTCAACGTAAATAAACAACCAAATCATAATTCATACTAGTTTAAAGCGTAAACATTGAACAATACAAGAATATATTATCTTTATGTGCTCGAGCGGGAGACTAATATGTCCCGTGTTTGAATCTCACGGAGTAAGGTCGTGGATGGGCGCTGCTGAGGAGTCCTAACATAGGACGAAACGGCCATTCAGTGCTTCCAGGTTTTCCATAGTGGTCTAGCTTCAATTAATTCATGATTTCAGCTATTAAAATGGTGATACTTTTTGTTGACCTTAATAATTAAATACGTTTAACTATCAATTTTATATAAAATTAAAGTTAATTAGATGAATAGTTTTGATGGAAATTACTTTA